AGTTAGCTGGAGTTTTGTACATCTATGAATTTGCACTCAGTTTGTCATCCCAAAGGATGATTTTACTATATTTACATTTCAGCATTTTGCCCCAGTTCAAAACGTAAAATATAAAATCTGTTATTCACAGTAGATGAAGCTAGAAAGCATAGAGCATGCTGTTCAGACAATGAAACCTGACAAAGCAGCTGAAATTGATTTCAGATGGGTTATTTAAAAGTGCACGCTGAAAAAGATCCCGAATGAGTCAGGCACAACGTGGGCTTTACGCTGCCATTGTTTCATCACCCAGCCATTGTTTTGTTAGCCTCCTGCCTTGCAGCGTTGTCACTGAGACTTTCATCCTTTACCCGTGAAGTGATTCATTCATGCAGGTGGAGCCAAAAGGACCTCAGGGGCCTCCGACAGCCCCGCTCGGTGCCAGTCCTGTGAACTCACACTCACATCCACTGTCATGGAAGTGCCTGGAATACACAAGGGATAGGACACCACAATACCTTTAAAAAAATAAAACATCTGTGAGGGAAATGTACTTTGACCTTTTGTAATGATCTGCTGCTTTGTGTTTCACTCTCGCAGTCAGAAAAATGTATTACTAACATTTACAGCACTGCTTAACTGTTTTACAAGGTAATAAAGGTTAATTTGTAGTTGCCTCTAAAAATATTCTAGAAAAAAATAACATTTTGTAAAGGTTAAATGAAGTTTAGTGGTTTTAATCTTTGACCTTATACCGTATTTTCAACATGTACACAATAGCCTACTTTGACATGGAGTGTGACAGATGTGCATAGACCACTGAGTATAGTACATTCATATGAATGCATTCTCGCATGAATAGAATTTAACCCATTACCTCTCATGTATGTGCTAACCACCAAATCAAGAGGGCCTCCATAACCAGCTGACTGGTAAAACTGAAAACTAACTCCATCAATCTTACCCATCTTGTGCTACAAAATGGTGCAACAGAAGCTAAAATAATCCCTTAAGAGACATACTGGTAGTTTGAACCACTCATGTTGATGGCCAACACAACTAGTCTATTTATTTTCCCTAACCTTTATTTAATCAGGCTAATCCTAAAGTACAGTGTTGCAAAGGAGGCCTGGGCCTGAGGGCAACGTAACATGCATGTTTTGGGTCTGTGGGAGGAAACCGGAGTACTCAGAGAAAGCYCAAGCATGAAAACATGCAAACACAGAAAGACCCGAAATGAAGATCAAACCCAGGACCTGATTGCTGTGAGGCATCAGTGCTAACCAGTAATCCACCGTGCTGCTAATCAACTATTTCTAATCCAAAAGGACTATAACTCAGTAAATTTTACAGATGATATGTACATTACATAGTACATTGCAAAGTATGTTGTGCTTCTATCTTTAAAATGGCAACACACTTAAATTATATTAAGTGATTGCTCTAAGACTAATAAGTACAAAAAAACTGGTCTGGTCATGAGAAGATGAGGAGGAGACGTTGCACAGCCTGCAACAACATACAGTATTTTATGGATGTTCCTTAAAATCCTTTGCTTGTTCTGGTCACACTGGATTTTAGTCATCCACATGAAAACCAAAGAATTACAGTATATGTCACTACACACTGATGGCAGATTTTACTGTCTTCAGTAATTTCCAATGACTTGGACTGGAGAGATCACAATGTCTTCCTCCCATTTTATCTCTCTTTGCATTTGCAGAAAAGTACCTCAGCAAGCAGTTCAATACAAATTGTGAAGGATTTTTTTTATCCTCGCAGCTGTCTTTGCTATAACTTTTAGATGTTATTTATAAAGTGTTACTAAAAACAATAAAATTTAAGTCATTTCATGAAGGTTATTGCATAAACAACCCACTACTGGATATGACTTAAAATGTTTTACTTATAACTTTTTGCTACATTTCAAAAATGTGCATGTTATTCATTTCTAATCTGTAATATCTTCTGCACACTGCTTGTTTAATTTCTGAACATGTATGCCATTAAATATTTCTACAGTTAATATTAATACAATTCAAAATGTGTTAACACTACCATCAGTGACCTACTTTATGCCATTGTTTATTACACATTTAAATACTTGGTATTAGTATTTAATTTAGTGAAGTGGTGTCCAATCATTGTACTAAAAGGCTACTAGCCTCCAGGTTTTAGACATTTCTCTGTTTCAACACACCTGACTTAAATGAGCTGGTGATTTGCAGGCTTCTGCAGAATTTGAGAAGCTGCTAAACAAGTAATTCTGTAGAGTCAAAAAACTGTCAATTCATTTATTRGTCTATTTAAATTTTTTGCTATTTTATCTTTTTATGAGTACAGTGGAACAACCTTTGTGCCCAACAWGCCAAGGGCAATGTACTGTATGTCAGAGAGTTATGGTATTTTGACCAACCTAAGTATGCTAATTAGTGTTGGTTATTCTTACAGTGGGCACCCAGAGAAAAGTAGAATTTGTTCCTTGCAGAATAAATCAATAAAAGACAAACAGCAGCTCGTAGTGTTTTTCCCCACTATTTAAGCATACAGCATACAGATTTACAGTTTTAGTTGACAATGATTTAAACAAACTTTTACCCATTATATATTTTGCCTTTGTATGAATAATATCATTTATAATTTTTTTAATCATTTCATGATGGCAGGAAGGATACGCAGAAGCAGAAAATTTCAAACAATGACCAAAACTTTAAGTAAATTAAAAAAAAGAAAAAATATATATAACTTTGCTTTGGGTTTAGCTCTGCATTATTATAATGTGCTAGACAACTTCTGCCAACTTGTAAAAWTTTTTGTCCAACCCTGAAGATATCTGTGCTGAAAATGGAATAAAAGAAATCCACTGGAAGCCTCTTTTGGACGCATGCGAACTGGAATGCTAACGATTAAAATATTCCTAAAATAATTGCCCATATTTGTTGTTGGTTTGTTGGTTTGTTTGTTTTTTAGAGGTGTCCTGACATCAGTTTTTCTCAAATCGAGTATTTTAATTTCAAATATTTCATTTTGGGCACTCACCCATACGACTACTCCCTGCATCATAACTTTGGTGTGAATCCTTCCTTGTAGGCCTACAGCCCCTCTGACTGAATCAAATCAAATATACTTCATGATATACTATACTGCTGCATTAATTTTGAAAGAAGTTAAAAATGACAAATACGCTTTTCTTTACACTTGTATAAATTTCTTAAACATGGAACTGACAAATCTTTCAGTTGAAATGTGTGAACTATAACACATTAGATGGAGCATTGATACTGGTATCTATACTGATATTGGTATCATTCCTGATTATCAGGACATTTTGTACGAGTTCTTGTAGAAATGCCAACTATTTTTTTTCAAGTTTTTCAGGAAATACAAAATATGTCATATGTTGCATATACAGTTAGGTATTTTGTGTTTCCTGAAATCCTTAAAAAATGATTATTTTAGGAATGTGACAATATAACACCTATATGAGTCATTTATTCATAACAATGTTTTCACAAGTTGCCTGAAACATTTGAGGGTGACAGAGCCTTTAGAAAAGCTACAATTATTTTAAATTATGTGTTGATTTGTGAAAACAGTAAGTGTCTGAGAAAGTAATGTTTCATCTACAGTCTTAGAGACAACATACCTGTTTCTCTCTGAGAAATTATCAAGATTGCCAGACTTGTGAAAGTAAAATAAATTCTCTCCAATAATTCTTATCTTTTGTTTATAATTTAAACTTTAAATATGAAGTAAAAATCTAAGAAAAATCCAAACCATTAAATGAGGTGTGTTAACACAGAGAAACAACTAAAACTTGCAGGGTAGTGGCTCTGGAGGACCAGGGTTACACACCTCAGATCAAGTGATGGGTACAGGATACTTACTGGGACAAAGCAAGCTATCGCACTAACTCCATTAGGCTTCTTTATGAACTAAATACTAAAGTGAGTCTGAGCATGATTTTAATGGGAAAACAAATAAGCTGTGATGTGGTTGATTTGCTTGATACATTAAGACGTCCTTTTTCAGTTTGTACGTGATTTCCTGCAAATTTCTCGTCAATAAAAAACCTCAAACTCAAACTAATTGCAAAAGTTTTTACATTTTTTTGTTGTGTCTCAAATCATGTAATCTACATGTAATAAACAAACATGTAAAAATCTGCATAAAAACCTCTCTGAAAAAAAACATTCATTGTAACCAAAATAAAACTAATTCTGAATGTTCAATATACTTATGTATACAAGTAATTATGGTCTTAAAAAGACTCATTTTGAAACATCTTGGTAAATTGATGTAATACAGTTTTAGTTTCTATGACAGTTTTGTTGAGGGTTCAACATAACCTTTATTCAGGCTAGCATGACTAAAAAAAACAAGTTTGAAGAGGACCCCTCGAGGCTGATGTGTGCTTTAGTTTACAGACTTAAGCTTCTCATCCGACTCTTTTACCGAGTTCATTTTGTGACCCTTTGAAAAACTGCTCCACCATTTCTCAAAATATTTCTCCTCCTCCGTGATTCAGTCTCTTCTATGTGTGAGAATCAGAGCAGCGCTGTGGCACCCGAGCTGATGGATGAGCTCGTAACTGTTTTAAGCACTCAAATGAGCCCACAGGAAGAAGATGTATCACCCTTCAGACAGCTCAGCCTCGCCACTAAAGAGAGTTGGGTGGGGACAGGGCCAGAGTAAAATGTATCTATTTTTTTTTTTTTTTACAAATTCAAATCTAGCTGGAGGAAACTAGTAAATCACTCCGCTCTGATGGTCCCACCTCTTCTTCTCATTGCTCCTCTGACCTGTCTGCTGTAGGTAGCAAGGCTGAACAATTTATGGTCTTCCCTCATTGACACTCTATTTTCCTCTTACTCCCTCAAACTTTCTGGCTTCCTCTTTAAAGTCAGACCATTTCTTTTATCTCTTGAACAGATGCTTAATATATCCCATTTACATTGTTTTGACAGCTTTGGTAAGTGGTGTGTTCAGTAATCCTGTTGTCTTCCTTCTTCCCTTCGCAGTTCTTCATCCTCCTCCTGATCATCTTCTTCCTGGAAATTCTCTTCATCATGTTGTTCTTCATTTACCAAGATGAGGTAAAACAGCTTGATTACTTGGATGTTTCGTTCTGCTCTTGAGTGAGAAAAAAAACAGCATGTTGAACTCGTCTGACCTTCCTGCTGATTTTCTGTGGCGTGTAAACTGATGGATCTGTTTAACGAGGATGTTTTGAAGGCCTTGTTAGCAGAGCTGAGTTTGTCAGCTTACAGAACAGCTTAGTGAAAGTGCTTGAGGATATGTTTTTTAAATGTCATAAGGATTTTTGTACACATTTGTGCCTTTGAGAAGATTTCTGGCTATACAGTAAGAAAATATTTATGCTGTTGTCATAATTCACATTTTGTTCGGAAACATCAGGTTCCATCTCAGCTAATTTACCTTTAGGCAGCAAACAAAAAAAAGCATGAAAGATTGTTTTCATACTTATTTTAAGTTTTTATATAACAGCTGTATATTATTTTAGAAACAAATATGTAAAACAACCAAACATTTTAAACATAATCATGTTTCTGTCTGTAAACAAACTAGGAGACAATCATTATTGACAAATTATGTCAGATTAATATGATTACATTGATAATGGAGAGGATTAACATGTCAAACCAATGTAGAGTCAGAAGAAACACCAAATAATAGCTTTATTCAGTATTATTCCTGAAAAAAGAAGGATTGAAATCTTTCTGAAGGCCAGAAGATTACGTATGTATTGTAGAGGGAGCATTACTATACCATTAATATACTATATATATTACTAACCCAATCCACTTCTTAGTTCTAGACAAAGACGTTTGTGTTTTTGTATCTTTCAGTGTAAAAAGCTGTAGTTTAGTTAAGCTAGTAGTTAAATTAAATTATTGTCAACAACTGTGAGTGAGTTGCTATCCAAGTTAGTACAGCAGATATTTTCATGAAGCAAATTTTACTACAAAATCTGTTTTTTACCAGGCTACAAACACACAGCTGCTGTGTGAAAACTTTAAGCTATGTCTAAAGGCCCTGTCACATTCATAGTTGGGTRGAGGAGGCACCAGGTCCAAGAGAGAAACCCAGACATCCCTCTCCCCAGCGACACTTTCCAGCTCATCCTGGGGGACTCTGAGGRGATCCCAGGCCAGAGAGGATACATAACCCRTTTAGTGAGTCCTGGGTCTTCCGCAGGGTCTTCTACCAGTGGGATATGCCCGGGACACCTCTAAAGGGAGGCGACCAGGAGGCATCCTGATCAGATGAAGCACCTCAATGACACCTTTTGATGTGGAGGAGCAGTGGCTCTACTTCAAACTCCCCTCGAATGACGGAGCTCCTCACCTTATCTCTAAGGTTTAGCCCAGCCACCCCAAGAAGGAAGCTCATTTCGGTTGCTTGTATCCAGGATCTTGTTCTTTCGATCATGATCCACACCTCATGACCATAGGTGAAGGTTGGAACYTAGACAGACCAGTAAATCCAGAGCTTAGACTTTCTGCTCAGCTCATTTACTACGACTGACTGAAGCAAGGCCCCAATCAGTCAATCCATCTCCCGCTTTATTCTACCATCACTTGTGAGCAAAACACCCAGTTGTGGCATGCCGTCCTAAAAACAGTGCCACCCTTGCCAGACCTGGCCCACATCCTGTTGAAAACCTCCTTGCTTACACCAGCAGTCAGCCAGCAGTGCCAGCTTGACACAAGATCTGGTCCACACCTGTCTGCTATGTGGGATATTTTGCATGTTTTTATAAACTGCTGGGTGTGAAAACAAACAAAAAATTGTGATGGAAACAGAAGTGTAGTAAGGGTGCTTCAGTGCTTGTACACTGGTTCTCCTAATTACTTAATGAGTCGGAATGATGGAGCTCTCCTCTGTGATAAACTCCTGGAAGCTGTTTTGTGCAAAACAATATTTAACACTCACCATGGAGTCAAATTAAAAATATATATTTTCTGTAAATCTTTTTGAGCCAGAAACCCATCTGCACGGTTGCATCAGCTTCTGTAAGGGATCGCTATCTTACCCATCAAAATATCAAAGCTCTTAAGCTTTCTTCAGAGCTCAGCGTCATGGTGTCAGATCACTGGAGAGATTATCTTTAAAATGTATTTTCCAGTCATTAAACTGGTAAACATTTGAACTGTGCTGCTCTAACTGGAGTGAACTCTTAACACAGACCCAGCTATGTGCGTGTGTATAAGTGTGTAGTTTACAGCAAAGCCCTGCAATTTTTTTAATATCATTGACGCATTCTGGTTAATTAATGYCAATAAATGGATTTTCAGGATCCTGAATTGTATTATAAATTATGACAAACACCAAAACCTCCAAAAAACATTCACAACRACTTAGTTTTGTTTGTATTTGTGGTGAGACAGAGGTATGACGTTTTCTGCAATTAGATTTCCAAAAGCTTTAAATCCAATGTGACAGTTTTCTTCWTTGCTTAAAGCAAGGTTATTTTTTACTTTGATTTTTTCCTATTTATTTATTTATTGATTTGTTTATTTACAATTTTAAAATGCCAAACATTAGGGAGAAAAAGGTTGRACTGTCAGTACTTTGCATCCCCTTTGGCAAGTATCACAGCCTGCCAATGCTGGTTTTCACAAGCTGAGATTCTTTCAGTCCTTGCTTAAAAGATTTTCACCCATCCTGGATGAAAAAGCTTCTCTGTTCGAGTCTTTGGCTGCTCTGCATGCACTGTTCTTTTGATGTCCCTCCACTGATTTTCAACAGTATTTAGGTGGGCCACTCTGAAAGCCATCAGCCAAACCCTCAGCTTGTATCTTTTGAAAATGTCRATTGTGGATTTTGGGGTGTGTTTAGGATCATCGTCTTGTCGTGAAGCACATCCTTCTTTTATCCCCAACTTTTTTGTTCAAACAGTGGGATGTTTGCAGCATCCACTCTTTTCTGCTGAATCCAAATAAAACTGCAAAAGATGATCTTCGGTCTCATGAACACAGTGGAGGGGCTCTTCTCATGAAATTCTGCYTTATTTCTGCTGAGTCAACAATAACTTTTTTAACTACTACCTATTGTAAAACTTATTTTAAATAGTTGCTAGTTTCCTTTCATAACAACTAAAGGTGACATAGATAGTTTATTATGGTATAGTATTTAAATGTATGCCTGAGAAACACATAATATTGCCCCTTTAATGCTTTTGCATTAGCATTTAGGCCCCACTTTCTGGAACCGAGATCTTTGGTTCGATCTGAGCCAGGCTGCATGACCCGATATGACGTTATGGGGTTATGTCGCACAGATGAGAGAAAATCTACCTTAATTGTTTACATAGCAGCAACTGTAACGTTTTTTTAACTTAAAAACTGTAGCAAGCTAACAAGCTAACATTAGCTACCATTAGCTTACCATCCTCTGTCGTCTTCCCTTCTGGTCTTAAGTGTCATACGGCTGGATGGTCTGGTAGAGCCTTCTGTACTTTTTGAGTTTGGTACTCCGTTACTGTTCTGTTGCAAATAATGGATGGATGGATGGATGGATGGATGGATGGATGGATGGATTGTGCATAATTAATATTATAATCTTTCCCAAATGGATTTGGCTTTCTGCTCAACGCAAACACAACCAGGGCCAGAGTAGATTAAGGTCAGGCAGACTGCAGCACAGGTGGGCTGAGGCAGGCCATACACTGTAAAATGCCTTTTGTGAATGGTGGGGTGCATTCTAGTCAGGCCACAAGAGCATCACAGGGACACAGGAACAAGCATTAAATGACTCTCTCACTCATAAGGACTATTCAGAGCTACTAAWTGACCTGACGGGCAATTAATGAAACAAAAATAACAAATTCAAGGCTAAAACTTTGGTAAAGGTTTTTCTTTTTTCTGAGGCATCACTTATGTTGGAGTGTATAAACTCTACACGTTCTTTTTTCCTTAATTTCAGTTTTTAATCTCAACATAACGAAGGGTGCCAGCAGTTTGTGTTAAACCTTTCGTTGGTGAACAGTGATGCAAGTTTTTCAGTTTATTATTAAACCTGTKTAAAATTTAAACAGCAGAGTACAAACTATGCAGGGTCATCATATATCACTGAACATTTTAAACTTTTTCCTGCATCTTTTTTTTTCCTGATGGGACAGATACTAAGGCCAACCCTGGCTCATTTTTATAATATGGTAAATACTTAGATATTTTCACTTCTTCCTCCTTTGGATGMGTTCAGTCTGTAGACCTTGGACCTACATGTATTTTGTTCCTGCTTTTATCTTTCTGTTATTGTGATTCTTACATGACTACACAAATTACATGAAATGTTTTTGCTTTGTTTTTTTTCCTCGTTGTTTTTATCCTTGATGATGCAACTGACTTATTATTTTTGGACTTACAAAGCCATCTTTTCATCCAATCAGCTTTGTTCAGCTTCTGATGACTGTTGTTTTTTGTAGCAGTTAAATGTTCTCTCAGTAACTATGTTCCTTGATCTTCAGTGTGCTCAATTTTTCAGCCCCTGAATAATTTTGTTTTTCTACCCAGGGGACGATTATAGACAAAACACAGTAAAAAGTTGCACGGGGTGGGGGGTAGCCTTGATGTTGATGCAGGGCTGGTGCACTGTGGGAAATCCATCACAGTAAAGAATGGGTGGCCATTACCAGGACTGTCTGATGCACTTTTCTTTAAACAGCAGGTTGCCAACAGTTTTCTGGAGTTGTTTTTTTCTACTTAAAGAACTGCTGGATGAACTGAAATAACAATGTATTCTGAAAAGAGCTATTTCACCAAGTCTATCAACTCTAAATTTATCATTGAAAAATTACTGAAGACAAACCAAATGTAATTAGGGTGGAGATTCATTCATTTCCAGTGGACAGGCTGCTTTGTAATTTTCTAAACGAGAGCTATAAAACAAAGTAAAAAAGAGACACTTAGTGGTTACAGATTATCATTTATGTTGAATAAACTGTTCCAACTATTTGCATTATAAACAGCTACTCTTTTCATGCTTTCACAAAGCACTAYTTCATTATTAAAGTTTAGCTTCAAAGTTTCAGGCTGAAGTTTAGGAATAATTGGATSAGGAGACAAAAAGC